TCCTTCTATTCTTGGCACTCCATTTCCCTTGCTGGCTTTGTCTGTTTACTGCTGCTAGAACAGAATGAAGGAGGCTGTGTCATTTATAAGGACAGAGGGCTATGTGGGCTCATGGTTCTGGAGGCTAGAAACCCAAGCTTGACACCAGCATCTGCTTGGCTTCTGGTGAGGGCCTCATGCTGCTTCCACTCATGGTGGGAAATAGAAGGGCAAGCAGGCATGAGTGAAAAATAGAGAAACACAAGGGCCAGTCTTGCTTTATAACACCCTGCTCTTGCTAGGACGAATCCGTTCCTTAACACTCAACTCCCCATAAAAGCCTTTCCACCTTTAAACAACTGTTCCATCAGGAATTGAGTTTTGATGTGAGTTTTGGTGGGGACAGGCCGTATTCAAACCACAGCACTTGCTCTGTCCCTCCCTCTTGACAGAGAGCTTAGAACAGGGTCTGGCAGGGCACAGGTGCCCACAGCATGTCTGTTGGGAGTGACAAATGCATGTGTGGGTGGGCACAGAAGACAATGGCTCCACGGAGGTCTTCACTGGCCTCCTGCCAATCACAGTGTGTCCTATTTCCCCTTAACCCTGAGGAATATAGGCCCAGAATCCAACAAATGGAATAAAGCAGACCAACATAAACAACCAAAGGCCTCATAGATGCTGTCTTTCAGATATCAACTTGAACCCACTCTGCTTTATTTGCCCATATTTGGGCTGTTGGGGGTTTAACAATATAGCTGGTGATCAGTGCTTGGCACTGAGCATTGAATGACACAGGTGCAAACCTGGCTTCATCATTTACCCCGAGTAACCATGGGCAAGCTGTTTTCCCTCTCTTCGCCTGTAAAATGGGATAATACCATGGCAGAACTGAAGGAATGTTCTGAGGATTCGGAGGACTACAGCTGAGTGTCTGAGCAAGTGTAAGCCCTGGGTAAATATTTGTTACGGTTATTATCTGCTGCAAATATGATGTCTTCATGAGGATTTGGTCTTGGGGATGTGATGAAGCTCTAGAAGGTTCTGCAAAGGCCCAGCATTGTGGCACAGCAGGTTGTTTCGCCTGCCATGCCGGCATCCTGTATGGGCACCTGTTCAAGTCCCAGCTGCTCCACTTTCAATCCAGCTCCCTGCTAATGCGCCTGGGAAAGCAACAGAAGAGGGCCCAAGTATTTGGGTCCTAACACTTATGTAGGTGACCCAGATGGAGTTCTTGGCTCCTGGCTTCAGCCTGGACCAGCTCTGGTCATTGAGGCCATTTGGGGAGTGAATCAATGGATGGAAGATCTCTCTGTCTCTGTCTCTGTCTCTCTCTCTCTGTCTCTCTCTGTAACTCTGCATTTCAAATAGATAAACGAAAGGAATGTTAAAGACATTTCTGTTTCTGTCACAGATTCAGTAACTTATTCCTGGTTCATCGACAGCCTACTATGTGCTAATGGTGCTTTGGGGACTGGGGATACGGACAGAACAGGACAAATGGGATCTTACATTCTTTTTTGAGGATTCAGATAGAACATGAATAAGAAATGATCAGACAGTCGTTAAGTGCAGTGATAAAAATAAAATGGGTGGTGAGATGGGGAGAGGGGTGGCTTTAGTGTTCCTCACCAGGAAAAGCTGTTCTAAAGGTAACCTCGAAGGTGTTTGCCAAATCACAGGACAGCAGCAGCCAGGCAAACACCTGGGACGCTCATTCCAGGCCTGTTCCCCAGCCAGGCGGAGCCCTAAGTGAGAATGGAGGCTGCTGTGTCTTGGGGCAGAGAGAAGGCAGCGTGTGGAGTGGAATACAGACCGTGGGGTGAGTGGGAGGAAAGGCAGGCGCAGCGTGGAATCGTGTGCAGCCACAGACACTGGGAAAGTGTCTAAGTACGTGACAGGGACTGGGAGGCAAGAAAGGGTGAACACCGGGGAACGGCATTTTATGAGACCTCTGTGCTGCCAGGTGGGGCAAGGACCAAAGAGGGGAAGCTTAGCAATCAGTACCTAAGGGGACAGTGACAAATAACACCCGTGAGATACCGGGGCGGCCGTGATGGGGCAGCTTTCCGTCCCGCTACTGACACGGGCATCACTGGCCCTCCTAGCAAGACGCTGCTGGGTGACTGGCCAGCCCTCCCCAGCCAGGGGTCTCTTATCCCTGCCGCCCCCTCTGCAGTGGTCTTTGCATGGAAGTTCTGTGTGGGAGGAAAGGCTGAGGCGAAACTCCCTTAACTTCTAGAATGCTCTTCCATGGCTTCTAAAAATGCCAAGAAAAGCGGCTAAAATAGTGTTGACTCAAAAGGGAGCCCACATGGCTGATTAGGAACCCTGTGCTGGGGTCGGTGTTGGGGTGTGGTGGGTGGGGCCACCGCCTGCAGTGTTGGCATCTCATGTGGGCGCAGGTTCGAGTCCCGCTGCTCCATTTCCGGTCCAGCTCTTTGCTGTGGCCTGGGAAAGCAGCGGAAGATGGTCCAAGTCCTTGGGCCCCTGC